CACCTCCCCTTTGAAATACCTTTCGAACAAAAGAAGAATCATTCAAATTGGTTGAGAAACATAGGAACATTAGGGAGGAATAGATTTGTATGGGATTTCGTTAGCGTATTAATATATAGATAGTAGATGGTGAAACCAAAGCAGACATTCATAAGCTTATACGGAAATCGGAAAAACTCGGCTCTGGGCCACATATCGGGCCCATTTTTCGCAGGTGTATTTCTATTGATGTTAGTAATACGTATTTTAAATTTGAAGCAAATCGGACCATAAATGAAGTTTTTCGGAATACAGTGAAATTCCCCAAGACGGACAGTCCTTATAACCGGACAGCTCCAATAACCGGACAAATTTTGTGTACACAGGTTTTTCAATCCTTTTTTCATACAAATATCATTCTAATAAACGGACGCTCTAATAACCGGACGCGGACACTGTATTTCAAGCCATTTCCATGAAAAAATTTCTCATAAACGGACAAAATTCAAAAACATCGCAAGCAAGCTTTGTTGTTCATTATAATAATGAAATAGGGGATTCCCCTTTTAACATGTATGCACACACTCAAGCCGTGCGTGTCAAGTAAAAGGAGGTTTTCTATTCAGTTTGTCAAGTAAGTTGCATGCGAGTGGTTGCGTTCAAAGTTCGTAATAATATGGCACCGAAAAAGAAGCTACTTTCTATTAAAGAGAAAATGGAAATTATTAATGTTTTCGAAAAAGAAAAGTTATCAGTACGTGGAATTGCAAAAAGGTAAAGTATAGTGAGTCCATAATTTAACTTGTAGGTACACGTTTCCTTTGCTTTAAAAGGTTCAATATTGGAAAAACGCAAGCTGCTGAAATTAATAAAAATAAAGAAAAAATTCGTTCTAAATGGGAGTCTGGATCTAATGTTCACCAAAAGCGAAGTTTCCTTAAAGAAGGCGGCTCGGATATAGACAGGATGTGTTTTGATTGGTTCGCTAAGGCTAGGAGTCAAAAAATTCCGATTTCTGGTCCCATTTTGAAAGCAAAGGCAATGGAAATTGCAGGAAAACTGGGGGTACCTAATTTTAATGCTTCGGATGGATGGCTAAATAAATGGCGATTAAGGAATAATGTTTCCTTCAAATGCATATCTGGTGAAGCTGCAGATGTGAATCAGGATGATGTCGAACAGTTTCGGACAAAGCTGCCAACTCTGTTGAATGGGTACAAGCCTGAAGACATTTACAACGCCGATGAGAGTGGGCTTTTCTTTCGTGCCTTACCGGACAAAACACTCGCTCTTAAATCCGAAAAATGTGTGGGAGGTAAGCTATCAAAGGAAAGACTCACAATTTTGTTCTGTGCTAATATGGCTGGAGATAAGGAGCCGCTTTTGGTTATAGGGAAAGCAGCCCGTCCTCGAGCCTTTAAACATGTTCCAATTGCAAAACTTCCAGTGGATTGGAAGTCTAATAAAAAAGCATGGATGACTCGAGAAGTGATGAGCGAATGGCTGCAGCAGTTCAATCGAAGAATGAAAGCCCAGAATCGAAAAATTATCTTGTTTCTAGATAACGCGGCTTCTCATCCAAAGGAATTAGACTTGACCAACATAAAAATTTGTTTCTTGCCACCAAATACAACGGCAGTTAGCCAACCCCTTGATCAGGGTATAATCCAAAATTTTAAAACTTTGTATAGAAGCTTAGTTTTAAAACACTTGATAACTAAAATTGGCGATACAAGTTCAGCCTCAGAGCTCTCAAAATCGATTAATGTACTGGAAGCTGTGTATTTCATCAAAGCATCTTGGCATAAAGTGGAAGCCACAACAATCCGAAACTGCTTCCGTAAAGCAGGATTTTTGGAAACTTTAGAGGATCCTTCAGATTTTGATCCCGAAGATGACATTCCACTGGCAGTCTATGCTAGGCTTCAGGAAGGACTAGATTTGGCAAATGATTTCGAAGGTTTTCTCCAAATAGATCAAAATGTTTTCACTGAGGACAACAATATAGAAATTCAATTTGACGAACCAGATGATGCTATGGACTTAAGTGATTCAGAAGATGAACCTTCAGAAGAAATAAGTGACCCCATAACATCATATGATGAGGCTTTAAAACTTGTTGAGCGCTTGAAACAATTTGCAAAAAATGACTATGTAGCTTTTCAGCAGGTTAAAAATATCGAGAGTCACTTTGAAAATGAAAATTTTAAATTAAAGGAATCAATGTTAAAACAAACAAGCATCACACAATTTTTTCAAACAAACTAGTCGATATTGAAATGTAAGGACTTGT